TACTTTTTTCTTTTGTACATCAGCAGCTTGATTAGTTATTGATGAAAGTACTAAAACGCATTTAGGGAAAGTGGTTCGAACCTTGTGTGTTGTGGATGTTCCGGTGAATCTTTCCCCTCCTCACGGGTAAGTCCAAGACGCTAACACTAGGGTAGCAACACACCCATTTGATTCCTGGCTTAAGCCTTTTGGTATTTGTGATTAATAAAATAATATTTTTTTAGAAACATTTATATGCTAATCAAATTCTTATTATTTTACTTTCACAATTGCAATTAATGGTTATGCATGAACTTTATTCAAGCTGTGGTAGAAACATTGCTGTATGCCAGAGCCGCTTTGATAAATGTTTCCGGAATCGGGGGCGCAAGAAGGATTAGTTAGGTCTATTTGTGGCACAAGGAATAGAAATATTACCCCACAAGGTAGGTGCAAGCGGCACAATTATCTTTTGGGCTCATAGCGCATCACATGCAAACTGCAGGCCTGTATAAGCAATTTAATAATACGCCTACACGTGTTTGACTTTCAATCTAAAAGAGAATAATAAATTTGAAAATACCACCTGATTTTTATGAACTGTTTTACAAAACCTATGTAGGTGTTCCACTGTGGCCCAAATAAAGGGCCACAGTCGAACAATGAATTAAAACGCAAAAGTACCGTACAATAAATCTAGTTTATTACAGGGCCGCGTTAAGGATCAGTTGCGCCCTGGGCAAACCCCAAAGCAGCGCCCCCCTTATATATAACTAAAAATGTTTTGACCACAGCAGTGTAGGGACTAGGGAGGGGAAGAGGGAAGGTAAAATATGACCAAATAAAAATATACAATAAATTATTAAGTAATAAGTGATGGTGGTGATTTGGGAAAACAAATCGTTGGCAAACTATAAAATAAAAACCAATTGCAGATAATTGTTCTATTGCGGTACCACTTCTTCAGAAATTGAGATTATTTCTAGTTCTTTTCATAGGGATTTCGCATACGGTAATAGTTTTATGTCAATTAAAAATAAAACATATATGGAATTAGTTGTTTGTGCAACTAGTGAGAAAAGTGAGCAATTGACCTACGCGAGTGGTTTCTCGAGTGAGGCAACAAGTAGGTTTGCTACAAAGTAAACGATTAGCTTATATTTAATTTTTGTATTATTGCATAAAAAATTTAAATTGCTCTATAATTTAATGACAACGTTTTTAAAAGACTAGCAGCAAACCCCGCGATACCCGTATCAAAATACAATGGTGGTTATAACATCATTAGTGGGAGGAATATTTTATACTATTCAAGACCTACTTATATAGTAATAAAAACACTCCTGAATGATCTACAATGCTCTAAGGGCATCTATAATGTTTGTACAATCTAGAGACATTTTTTCTGGATTTTTTTTCTAGAGCATATTCCAGACCAACTAGTTTCACGCCCTTCAATTGTTAGTTTCATAATTCATAAATTGGACGCTAAAAAGAGTTCTATGATTTTCGAACTATTTTCATACTTTATACAACCATTTCGAGTGTTTGTGTTTTATCTTAGCATGACATGTTTAATTTTAATATAATAAATGCGATAGTTTTGATTCAACCGTATATTGTTTACTATAAAGATTTATTGTAACACAATTAACTTTAATACTGATTCGACTGAATACAACTTTTTATATTTTGTGAACTATGAAAAATAGTGCACACACATTTTAAATCTTCCCTTTAATTTCCTTTAATTTAATATAAAAAATAATTTGTGATATTTGGCGAATTTTTGATAATTTACTTTTTTAAAGTATTACAAGTGTTTGTAAACATGTTGCTTAAATTAAATAATTAAAACTGTTAAATAGTTATAGTACCCCCGCCGCAGCAAACCTGCAGATTAAGCGAATTTCCATTTGACTGATTGGATTTACACTGAAATGTCTACTTAAAAATATAACATTTATTCTTGATTTAAATAGAATTAGTTTAACAAGTACTTAGGTTTGCTGCATCAGGGAGGGTGAAACTGTTTTTTTTTTGTAAAATGTGAATAGATAAAAGTAAGAATTAAAAGCATTTTCCAAATTTGATCAAAATATGTTCACTAACAAGCAAACTAAAACAGTTTACTTATTCTCCACAAGAATAACATGGGAATTTTAAATTTACAATTTTTTGGAATTTTCTCCGTAACCATTAGGCGCATAATAACGCTTCAATATACTACATTATTTGTTTTTTTAAGCTCTACAAAATGGTTTGGAAAGAAATTGCTAAATTTTATGTTTTTTGGATCAAAAATGGGAAAAACCTATTTTTACCCCATAAAACCCCCCGTAAACCCCCGTTCCCATGGTCCGATCATGCTGGATCGCGAACTCGTTCGAATAAACGTACGTTTACACGTTTGTACCAAATTTCATCAAAATCGGATCATGTTTGCTCGAGTTATCGTGCTGACGGACACACATATATATATCTGTGATCATGGCCTAAGAGCCGAAACATGTAAGTTTATTCAATAAATTAATAACTTAAAAAAGGGTTCTAAATGTTTAATTATTATTTCATTTATTAATATATATAAATATATAAATATATATATATATATATATATGAACGGATGGTGTTTTTGGCCTCTAGGGACCTCAAAACGAAAAAAAAATCGGTCCCGCGTCCAGGTCTTACCATGAGTACTACGGTAATAGCTTATTCCCTATATGGGAAATTCGCTAAAAATTAAATTAAGTAGTTAAAATGTAATGTTCAAAGTTTAAGTTAATTCAATGTTAAAGTCATTGAAAGTTAGAAGACAGTAATTTTTATGACAATAACTTACCACTCCAGACAGAGAGTTGTAATTTGTCCGGTAGGACCGCTTCGCCCAGCTCCCGTCGGCCACGACGGTCAAGATCGGCGTTCCGTCCGGAGTAACTTGACCTTCGGCGATGGCGTGCGCTATTTCTTCCGTTGCCGCTGACTTCATCTCTTCGAGCGCAGTTTCTTCCCATCCCTTAGAAAGCGTGACGTGGTATCCAGAATATGACACTGCAGACATTGCTGGAATTTCCATTGAAGAGAGGAGTTCTTGTAGCTGGGAATGGCCAATTTCAATACACATTGCACCAGCAACACTCGCGGTATTTATGCCCATTGTTTCCCGCCTATCGTCCTCAGTAGACAATATGAATTGCATATTGCACATGTTGCACTTCAAAGTAAATTTTGACCGCAGCCCGTAACATTTTCCCTTTATTATGTTGCAGTTACTAATGGAACAACCCATCACTTTGTTGTGATTGTCAATTTCTTTGATTTGCCAATAAAACGGTGCCAAGTCAACGATCCGGCGACCTGTTACAGAAAGTGGCACTGGAGTGTCATTGCAAATATTGGTCATGTCTTCTAGTGGGATAGGTCCTTCGAGTGTAAGGTCATTGGCGTCCAATCGACTACAGTTTGAATGTTCCATATCCTCGAGGGGGATAAGTTCTTCAACGCTGTCTTCATGGGCGTCGTCTCTGTTGCTGCCTGCAACTTCCATTATCAGCCTCCGGCGAGCTGGAACTGAGAATGGTGTGCTCGTGCCCGCTCTGTAATTAAAAGTTCAATAGTTGATGTTCCTGCTTTCGGCTGGAGTCAGCTGTCACTTGGCTGTTCCACTAAGCGGAACACTCCCCTTTCCGTTGTGCACCATAGGAATTTTGCCGATTAGTCGGAATTAGGCACTATAACACAGTTGCACTATGAGATTATGCACTATAAGACATTTTTACTATGAGACTTATATGCAATATGCAACCAAATCGGTATTAGGCCCTGTAAGACAGTTCAACTATGAGATTATGCACTATAACATCACCACTATATGCACATGCCTGTCACCTACAGTAACTTTTATTGTTTTTTTTTAGTGAGTAGTTTGCGATTTATTCATGATATTATTCTAGTTTTATGATTTTGATTACATCAAAAACTCTTAGACCCTAATTATTTGATTTTTAAATGAGGATCGCGCCACTCATCCTACACTCATCCCCATTCATACTCGGCTTAAAATACCTACTTTGTATGGTCGCCTTTTCATTATAAAGTCTAAAAAGTAAAGTAAAGTAAGATGAAGTCCACCATGAAGTATATTACATAGTATATTAATGTAAGATGAAGTAAGTAGTCAATGGTATATTACATAGTGTTAGTGTCAAGTTTGTAGTGTACATGGAAATAGTATAAACACTATTAGGTTGGTATTCTTTATTCTATTCTATGTTGTCATTGGCGTCATTGGATGTTCGTCTTTTTGGTCTTTGTCTCTTGGTCTCTTGGGGTATTTACTCAGGGGAGGTACAGAAGAGGCTACGATGACAGCTGTGGACTTCGTATTAGCTGAAGGAACGCCATTACCGAACCAATACGGTCAGTGGCCATCGGCCTCGGTGGTCTAGTGGTCAGCGTGCCGGCCTGATATGCTGAAGGTCCCGGGTTCGAATCCCGCTGGTAGAACTAACTTTTTGTCCAAGATATTTTCATTGTCAGCAAGTTTGGTTCGGTTATGACAGTTTAATTTTATTATAAGTCATTATAAAATTTTAATTTAGCAATTTCTAGTTTTATTTAATAAACAGAATTTTTTTCATAACTAAACATTTGTTATATTATTTAATTATCAGCAAGTTTGGTTAGTTCGGTTAGGTTATGATAGTTTAATTTTATATTTTAAAAATTATAAAATTGAATTTGAGGCATTTATAATTTTATTTTATGAACAGAACGATTTTTGCGATTAGTATTAGTAAACCTTCATTGCCAAAGTGCTCTCTACTACAGCGCTGTTCACGGAGGAATTTTGAACTAATGCCTCATTCGTACCTCCCCTAAGTCAGACCCGTCTCTTGGTCTCTTGTCTCGTTGTCTGTCTGTTGTGGTTGTGATGTGTTTGTCTCTGTGTGTATTATAGATTCGTTGAATGAATGCGCCTTTTTTGCGCCATCGCCATGCGTTCATGCGGTATACACGCTTGCACGTATGCTAAAGCTAAGCTGTAGCTATTTAATTTGCTTATTTGCATTGCATCCTTGGCAAGTTGCAGTTTACTTGCAATCCAACAGTTAGGTTAAATTGTTAAGTTCGTGTCTGTGTAGTAGTCATGACTTCTTACAGCTCAAAATCCTAGATTACTGTAATAATTTGTAACGTTTGGAAATCTAGGCTTTGGCCTAGTTCAATTAAAATGTTTTGGACATTGGTGTTTATGGTATCATGTATAAAATTGCTTCTCATACCTGCATAGTGAGTTAACATTAATTTCTACAGTCTAGCCTAATTCTAACTTAAGGCAGGCCTACCTAGCCTAGGCCTATATAAGTTAATTTAACATAATTTTGTAAAGATTTTAAGCTCAAAGAAACCCATTTTTACAGGCAGGCCTAGACTTTTTAGGTTACTTTCCTGTTAAAGGGAACATTCATTATTATCGACGATTTTTAATCGATAACTTATATCGATATTTTTGTTTCCCTTTACGATCCATTACAAAATGACAACTGATCTTGTTTAGGCTAAAATCTATGGATTAAGCTAACCTAACATAACCAACCAAACTTGCTGTACCGTACCATTTTAAAAATTCCGTTTGATTATAACTTAGAAAAGGCATGTGGTGAATATTAAACAGAATTTTTAAATGTTACAGCAAGTTTTGTTAGGTTGTTTTGGAACAGTTTCATTTCAATATTTTTTTTTTATACTGATCAATATTTACTAGGCCTAATCATAGTTGTCAGCTGATAGGTATCAATTCGTTAATATCGATATAGACCTATCGATTGAAAATCATCAATAGGGTGAAGTGGGGTAAGAGTAACCAGGGGGCTAGTGTAACCACGGCTTATCACTCTTTTGGGCCTATATACTATCATATCTTGTTATTTGAACCTTCCTTTGTTATATTTAGCCTTAAAAATGCATATAAAATATGTGCAAGTAGGCCTTAATAATTTTAGAATGTTTAAAAAAGGCTTACATTTCCACTCCATCGGCAAGTGCCAACCTCAAACTTTGACAATTTTTCATACTGGTTTTGATGGCTAACCTTAGCAATTTCATAGTCGGTAGTGTTGTTGCATCAATAGTCAAAGGTAGTACCGGTATCCACCTGATGGGTTTTTACAAACCTGTATAGTTTATGGCTGACCTAGTCTCCGACTGAGGATGAACCTTCAGGTTTGAATTTAATAATGGGTCAAAAATATTAGGCTAGGATTGCAAAGGTAAAATCATACACTTAGCAACACATGTTTTATCTATGGTAAAACCCTTACAATTAGCAATTATACTTAACCCTTAGAGTGCCAGGCGAGAAATAAAAGTAACGCTCAAAAAATGCCGATGATTTTTCCCGAAGGTCGCGCTAAAAATGCCGAGCGCGATCTGGCGATTTTTAGGTTAAAATTTCGTAAAAATCGAATTTTCGATATTTCGACCAACGAAAATCGATGTATCGCATCTAGCAACTTTCGACTCAATGTTAATATATGGGTTAAAAGAATCCGAGTATTTATTCGGTTGTTATGACAGCTGTTCGATCATTACGAAACGTCCGGTCAGCCGGACGTTGGCACTTTTGGCTCGTTCTAAAAACGTCCGGTCGGCCGGACGTTGGCACTTTTGGCTCGTTTTAAAAACGTCCGGTTCCCCGGACGTTGGCACTCAAAGGGTTAAGTAATCCAGAGGCCAGCCAATCTGTATGTGCCAATGTGCTGGATGTTACATTTTCACTATAAAAATATTAATATTGTTTTCAAATATTATTGATGATCTATTTTAAGACTTGCAGTTACATAGGGGTTGCCTTAATCAGGAGTAGAAGTTTGTTTGTAACCTTAATCAGCAACCTTTTACAAATTAATCAACAAATGAAAAATTAAGTTATTTTGTCATATCTCAATTGTGAAGAGACTACTGTAGTTGAAGAGACTACTGTAGTTCATGAACATCCTGCTAAAATTGTGTTGTTGTGTTGTTCTCCCATTGTTGTGGCATTTTTCCAGTCTGCTACGTCTTGTTTTGGGTCAAACTTGGACTGATTCACAGATTAAACACAGGCATAAAAAAACTCTTGTGCTGTGTTTATGATCACAGAGCGGGATTTGATCTTAATCCAGATCTGTCGCTTGAGTTGGCCGCCGATTTTAGGTTTAAATGAGCTCCACTCAACATTCACCACATTCAAATTGTTGGCAAGGAAACAGATGTTTGAAATAGTGAATTTGCTCTTAAATTGAGCAGAACAGTTATCTGAGAATATTAACAAGTTTCTCAACTCTTCATAATAAAATTCCTTGAAATGGCTAACAACAGTTAAAAAAAAAACCCAACTTGATTCCTTATATAATGAGTCAAAACATCACTTATTACAACATAGTACTTGACTCCATTCTCGTACCAAATACTTACAAGCTGTGAATAAAGTAGGCCTAACTTGTTTATGGCCCCAATGTGCACTCTGGAACTCATCTTGAGGCGTTAGAGAAAAGTTTACAGCTGTACCGGTACACTTGTTTAACTTAACATCATCAAAGTGTGCTGATTGCACCTTTTAAACCAAGCAATGAAATTTAAAAGTTTGTAACAGCTCATTAATTTATTTTACAACTGTTTGTAACGAGGGTTGTTTTTTCTACCACCTGGTATTTTCCTTAATTTTTCTGCCAAGCTTTCCACTTTGTCATTGCTGAGTAATCCAAAATATCTTTCAAAACAGTTTTGATGTCTTAAGTGCAATTCTCACAACTATTTGTCATGCAACTCTCGCTCTTCGTATTGCAGCATACTGAATTTAACAAACTGCGATGGTTAAATTAAATTTCAAACTAGCAGCAATCTTTAACCCCTCTACCAATAAAGAAAAATTGGCATGTTTGACACACACACACAGACATTGTGTGGTGTGTTAGCTACTGGTAGAACATGTTTCGGTCGCAATTCAAAAAACTTAGAACAGGAAACAGATACATTATAATTTTCTTGAAACAATACTCTGGCTTCGTCTACGTGTTTCTGAATTTTCATTTTGGATTCAGGGTCTTATATTTTTACATAGTCCCTTTTCCCTTGGGCTTGCCAGCTGATATCACTATCAAACCATTTTAAAACTTGTTGTTTTATATCCTCACTAAACCTTGTTCTGGGTATGGTGTTTCGTTGTTCTATGGCTGAGTGGATTAATTTTTCATCTCTCAAAAATTGCCGGATTACTGCTGTTTTTTTTCTTGCGGTTAAATGGCAGTGACTTCTTCACTTTAACTACTACATTCCTAAGTGGTGTCCATGATCACGCATTATCCCTCCGAGTGTCACGCGTCATAAAAATGACGCACAACACACTTTGTGTAGGGTCACGCGTCACTTTTATGACGCACAAACATCGTTTACGGCGAAGGCTCTATGACTGACTGAATGGGATTGAACTGGATCGAGTTAGGTATCGTTCTTTCCGTAATATTCTAAGCTTTCTCCAGAGGTCTGTCTCTAAGCGCTATTCATTTTAGTTCCGAAAATATTGTAGCAGACAGCTGACGTGCGTGTATTTGTAAACAGCTAGGTTCCCCCGGACCGATGACTGATGTGTTTTATTACGTTTATCATTGTTTTAGTGTTAAAAATCAAAAGTAGTGATATACGTGGTGCATTATAAGAAGATTTAAGTGGTTTTGAAGTGCTGGTTGATGATCCTGAAGAAGTAGGTAGTGATATTGATGTAAATTATCAGCCAGATTCCTAGCTATGGTTAGGCTATGCATTCTTAGCTAAACGCTATGTACTGAAATCCGTTTTTCGCTCATAACTTATTTATTTGATAACTTACCTCGCTATATGATTATATATTTGTAATCCTCATTAAATTTAGAACAAAGTGGCTATTTTCAAATATTTATAGGCCTATAATTTATACAATTTCATTGAGCGCGAACTTATTTTTTTTTTGAAAATTTTCGAAATTATATTTTTTTTTACCTAAAAATTTTTTTTTTTAAAAAATGTTCCTTATGTTTTATATATACAGGGTGTATACCAACCGGGAAAACCGGGAGAACCGGGAAATAACCTTGAATTTGAAGGGACCTGGAAAAAACCGGGAAAAAACCGGGATTTTTGGACCGAATCCGGGATTTTTATTTTAGCCCCGGTAGAAGATTGTAGTCGTAAAATGCGTCTTGCCGCGATTGCGGGCGACGACGATGACGTTTTCGTGACCGCGGGAGACGACGATGACGTTTCCGTGACCGCGGGAGACGACCATGACGTTTCCGTGACCGCGGGAGACGACGATGATGTTTCCGTGACCGCGGGAGACGACGATGATCTTTACATGGCTGCGGTAAATATTCATGATTTTACCGCGATCGCGTACTTCGACGATTACGTTTCCCTAACCGCTGGAGGCAATGATGATGTCTACACGGCCGCGGAAGATTTTCATGATTTGCCGTGACCGCGAATGACGACGATGATGATTTCTACACGGCCGCGTGATATGTTCATGATTTTGCCGTGATTGCGGCCGAAAACAATGACGTTTCCGTGACCGCGGGAAACGAAGATGACGTTTCCGTGACCGCGGGAGACGACGATGACGTTTCCGTGACCGCGGGAGACGACGATGACGTTTCCGTTACGGCGGGATCAACGATGATTTCTACACGGCCGCGAGAAATACTCATGATTTTGCCGCAATTGCGATCTACGACGATGACGTTTCCGTGACCGCGGGAGACGACGATGACGTTTCCGTGACCGCGGGAGACGACGATGACGTTTCCGTGACCGCGGGAGACGACGATGACGTTTTCGTGACCGCGGGAGACGACGATGACGTTTCCGTGACCGCGGGAGAAGACGATGACGTTTCCGTGACCGCGGGAGACGACGATGATTATGTCTACACGGCCGCAGATGTTTATGATTTTACCGAGATCGCGGACGACGGCGATGATGTTTTCATATCTGCGAGAGGCAATGATGATGTCTATACGACCGCGGAAGATTTTCGTGATTTGCCGTGACCGCGAAAGACAACGATGATGATTTCTACACGGCCACGTGATATGCTCATTGATTTTGCCGTGATTGCGGCCGACGACGATGACGTTTCCGTGACCGCGGGAAACGACGATGACGTTTCCGTGGCCGCGGGAGACGACGGTGATGTAGACACGGCCGCGGGAAATATTCATGATTTTACCGAGATCGCGGACGATGACGACGATGACGTTTCAGTGACTGCGGGA